ATATATTTTTATTTTTATCAATAACTCATACCACCACCTCTACTACAAATATAATTTATTAATCACAGAATGCAAACAAAATTGCAATTTTATATAATTTTATATTTTTTAAACAACGTCTTTATCCCATTCTCATAATAGCAATAATACAATTAAAAGTTTCTTTATTTTCCAATTCCAAAAAAAAATAAAAAATAATAAAAAAAAAAAAATAATAAAATAAAGTAATAATAAAGTAATATAAAATTAAATTTAGATTTTTTTTTTTAAAAATTTTTCTTTTAATATAAAACTTAAAAATTAAAAAAATATTTCTCTTAACAACAAAAAATTTTGGTTAATAATTTTTTTTTTTGTGGCAACAACAATACAACAACAATAACCTCATTGTTAGTGTCATTTATAAATCAGATGATGTGCTTTTTAAAAAGTTTTTTTTAGATAATTTTTATTTTTCCAATTCCAAAAGAAATTTATTTTATTTTATTTTAATTTTATTTAATTTTTTTTTCAAATTGTTTACTTTAAAAAAATCTTTGCCGATTTTTTTCTTCTGGTTTATTTTAATATTAAAAAAAAACCAAATTAACAAAAAATAAAATTATACATATATATTATTTAATATCACCGCTATTATATTATAACACTTTTTTTTTGTGCCCTATATTATTATTTTTGTAAATATTCAAGATTACTTTTATTTTTATTTTTATTTTATTCAAGTTTTATAATAATTATTGTTTTATTTTAATTTTTTAGGAATAATAAAAATATTTGTTTTAATATAATTTTTTTTTCAGCTCAATCAAATCATCAATTACTTTTTTCATAAATAATATCATTTTGACCAGTAAAAAATTATTTTAAAATTTTTTTTTTTTTAAAATAATTTTTTTTTTTTTCACCAATTTATTGCGTAATCAATGTTGTTATGATGGTGGTTAATGTTTTCTCTATTTCATTATTTATATAAGTCACACATAAAACTCCTTTTAAGTCAGAGTTGGTGTCTATATTTATAATTCAAGAGAGAAAAAGAATCACTAAAAAAAAAAAAAAATTTTAATCAAACTATTACGTAGCATCAAAAATATTTTTATTTTTATTTTTTTATTTTTATTTTTTTTTTTTACTCTATTTTTATTAATAACAATATAACAATAATAATATATAGTAATAATTAAAAAATAAATAACCACCATCTTCAAAAAAAAAAAAAAAAGAAAAAAAAAAATTATCACACCAACTTCAAACACTTATTTATTTTTACACTTCACCGTATTTTTATTACATGCACAAATTAAAAGGTGAATAGTTTATTTTTATAATTATCATTTTGTCCCAATCTCTACAATCGAAACAATAGAGTTATAAAGGTTATATTTTAATACCACGTCTTTTTTTTTTCATTTTTTTAAAAAAACTTATTTTTAAAAGACATATGTTTTTTTTTAAAAAATTTAATTTAATTTAATTTTATTTATTTTTATTTTATATTTTTATATTTATTTAAAATTATAAATGAATACTAATTTTTCTTATTTATCATTATTCTTTAAATTAATTTAAAAATATAATCACACAATCTCCCTCGAATCTTTAATAACCGAACAAAAAAAAACTACCGAATTTTTAAAAAAAAAACTACCGAATTTTTAAAAAAAAAAAAAAAAAAAAAAAAAAAAACAGTTTATAAAACCAAAACAAAAGAATATATATAAAAATAAATATGGCAACAATACTTAATAGTAGTAATAATAGTAATAGTAATAATAATTTAACGATGAGTGGGGGTGGGCCAAGTGGCGCAAATCATAATCATTTATTCTATAAAAATATCGAAACTCAAAGTTCCAGTAGTTTATATTCAAGAGGGGATGACGATGATGATGAAGAGTTTTACGATTGTTATGAGGTAAATCCATCATGGTCAACAACTCCAGTATCACCAAGTTATTTAATTAATGATAGATCAAATTCAATATCAGCAAAAGAGGCACCTTTTTCAAATGGAAATATTAATTTAAGACAATCACAATCTCAGTTAAATAAATCACAATCACAAATATTACCACCTCAAACACAATTACCCTCATCACTACCAACATCATCACCACCAACATCATCATCACCAACATCAAATGTATTACCCAGTTCAGTGGTTTCAAGTACACTATCAACTGTTTCACAAATATCTGATACCAATTCTAACTCATCATCAGAAGCTGACTTATCATCCATTTCAACTCAAAATAATCCATTGGTTAGATCAACCTCAGCAACTTTATTACCATCAACAACAATAGTACAACCAAACCCAACATCCCAATTGTCACACTCCACATCAATTTTACAACCACCAAGCTCCCAAGCATTATCATCATCATCATCGTCGTCATCATCATCTGGTACTGGTAGTGTTAGATCAAAGAGAAATTCCAGAGTAATTAGTTTAATTAAAAATAAAAAGGAAGAAATTAGTAATTTATTTAAAGAGATTAAAGGTGATACAAAATCAGATCAATCACAACAAACATTGGATGATTTAGATATTTCAGTTTCACAACAAACAAACAACCCACCACCACAATTACAACAATCACCAAATACACAACCAAATCAATCATCACCACAACCACCCCCACATAATGAAAAAGATGGAATTAGAAAAAAAATTAAAAGAAAATTAATACCAGGTTCAAACAATAGTAATAATAATAATAATAGTAATAATAATAATAATAATAATAATAATAATAATAATAATAATAGTAATGATGTAAATAGTGATAATATAAGTGAAATTAATAAAAGTACAGAAATTAAAAATAATGAAAAAGAAGAAAAACATGATTCAAGAGTTACTAGATGGTTAAAAAACCATAATTTAAAAAAGAAGAAGGAGGTTAATACAAGATTTATACAATCACAATCAATTCAAGGTCATAAAGGCTCTATATGGTCATTGGAAATAAGCAAAGATGAAAACTATATTTCAACAGCTGGATCAGAAGGTGTTATTAAAGTTTGGAAGACTATTAAATCACCATTACAACAACAAGCCATCGCACCAGATAATATTAGTATAAGTAGTTATAGTAGTAATAGTAGCAGTGGTAGTAATGAAGAAAATCAACAACAAATTTTAGAAAATAAACCAAGATTCATTTTAGAAGGTCATTCTGGTCAAGTTTTGGAAATGAAATGGTTATCCAATACATTATTAATTTCATCATCAATAGATAAAACTGTAAAGCTATGGAATATTGAAACTGGAGATTGCGTCAAAACATTCGAGCACAACGATATTGTTGTTTCTATTTGTTTCGACTCTGTACAGTGCATAAATAATAAAGATTTCTTTTTCTATTCCGCAACTTTAGATGGTGTAATTAGAAAGTGGAGCGTTAATGACCATACCAAACCAATTTCTCAATTAGAACTAGGCGAATACATAACTTCAATTGCCCTCTCACCAAATCCACACTATTTAATAGTTTCAACACATTTAGGTAACCTTTGTTTCTATAGTCCATTCGACTTGGAGTTTGTTAACAAGTTTAATATAAGTCAAAGTCATAATACTAAAAAAGGCAAAGGCCCAAAAATTGTTGGTGTCCAAATTATCTCGAATTCTTTAAATCAAAGTGAAGTAAGTATATTGTTTAGATACAACACCTTTTAATTAGTTTTAATAAGTCTCTAATTTTATTTTTTTATTATAGATTTTAGTTAGTTCAAATGATAGCTATATTAGACACTTTTCTTTAATCAATTTCAAAAGGATATGCAGATACGGAGGTGGTGTTTTGGAAAATTATCAAGTTAAACCAATCGCTTCAATTGATAAAAAATATATTATAATGGGTTGTGAAGATAGTCAAATTTATATATGGGAAAATTTTTCAGAACAAATAATAGGTTCAAATCAAGATGGTAATGGAAATGTAAATAGTATTAATAATGGTCATAGTCACCATAATAAAGTTACCATCGAAAATTACGAATATTTTACCGCATCAAATAAACCAATAACCAATACAGCTTTCTTAACAATCAATAATAATACATATTTAATTACAACTGACACACTTGGTCATTTATTAATATTTAATAAATAATAAATATAATAGTTTATATATAGTAAATATTTTGATTAATCAAAATATATTTATTTAATTTAAAAAATAAAAAATTTTAAAATAATAAACTTTTTATTTAATCTAATTTTAAAAAAAATATATTGTTTAATTATAATTATTATAGTTTAAAATATATATAAAATATTTTTTTTTTTAAATGCACGTTACAGAATGGGCAGGGGTGGTAGCATTTTTATTTAATATAATTTATTTAAAGAATTAAGATTTATTTTTTAGAGTACTAAATAATCATCAGCATCATTTATCTATATTATTTTTTATTATAAGTGATGATATATGTAGACATTTATACTTTTTTTATATAAAAAGATAAGGAAAGATTTTATTTTAATTAAATTATTTTAAATTAGTGAAAGAAACTGGTGCAGTGTAATGGTAATTATATTTAACTATTGGATTGTGTGATTTAATGTGTATGTGTCTACAGATTAACTTTTTTTGTGTACTATTCACACAAGATAAATAAAGTAAAAAAATTAATCTTTTTTTATTTTTATTTTATTTTTATGATTTATTTTTTATATGGTTAGTTTAAATGATCTAAATCTAAATATCAAAACAAAAAAAAAAAAAAAAAAAAAAAAAAAATACCCATCAAATCTTTTTTGTAAAATATATAAAAACGATAGTTATTTTTCATTTTTAAATCAAATATAATTGGATAGCCATATCACTAAACATAAAAAAAATTAGATATTTAGATATTTACAAATAAAAATCAATTTTATTTGTAGGACTAAAAAAAAAAAACTGGCGTGGGTGTATTTATTGACAATAGTTAAAATAGATTTAAAAAATATTGTAGAAAATTAAAGCACAAAGGAGGTTGTTTAATAACCTTTTTTCCCTTTTTTTTTTTTTTTTTTTTTTGATTATAAAAAAAAAATAGAATTTATTTAGCCAGTAAAAAAAAAATTCTTTTTTATTATTTTTTATTTGTTTTTTTTATTTTTATTAAATTTTTTTTTTTTTTTTTAAATTTTTTTTTCGCAGACGTCTGTAAAAAAAAGATATTTTTTATTAATTAATATTTTACACAATATTCTATTATTTATTTCATCATACCTTATATCACTATATATATACATATAATCAAATTTAATTAATTAGTTTTTTATTTTAGTAAAAATTGTAAAAAAAATATCCCCACACAAATTAATTAATTTATGAAATAATAAATTTAAACTTTGTAAAATTTAAAAAACTCAATTATTTTATTCTTTTTTTTTTTTTTTTTTGTTTATTTATATATTTATTTATTTTTTTGTGTAATAATAATAGTTTACTAAATTTTATTAAAACAAAAAAAAATGACAACAATAAAAAATGAAGAGTTATTAAATAAAATTAATCAAGTTTTAGAAAGGAATAATGAACTTGAAACTAAAGTTGAACAACTAACAAAGATTGTGGATCAACATGAATTTAAAATTCAAGAGTTATTGTTGCTCCTAAGAAAAAGTAACCCAAATACCATTACCAACTCTACATTAAATTCATCACCTACAAATACAATTATAAATAATAATAATTCCCCACCAATTAGTCCAAGAAATTCATGTGAAATTACACCACCACCATCACTAACAAAATCAACCTCAACTGATTCATTTAATATATCGAATACAAACAATACTAATAATAATAGTAGTAATACAAGTAATACTAGTAGTTCAAACAATAACAATAACAATAGTAATAGTAATACAAATTCTACATCACCAAGCATTTCTTCAAATAATTCAAATAGTAATTCAAATTCACCAAATATTTCACCAATGGCCTCACCACAATTAGGTAGTAGACCAAGAGTTCAATATATGGGTGCTAGTAGACAATCATCTACAGGAAATTTATTTAAAAAAGAAGATAGTACTGATTCATTATTAAAATACTCTGTTGGTAAAGATGGCGAAACATTTTATGTACCTCCAATTACACCAAGAGCATCAAAATCACCTTCAATGGATTTTGTTTTATCATCATCATTAGTAAATAGTATTAGTAATTCAAAATCAAATGAATCACTTTCAACCGTTATGGCTAGTTCAAGTACCATTCCAGAAGGAAATGAAAATGAAGCAACAAAGTCACAATTTTATACAGAGCCAAACTATATATCAAAACTACCAGATAAATATCAATGGGCAATTATTTGGGAATATTCAGCAACTGATGATGAATGGACAAAAGGTTTAATTGTAGTCGAAATGGAAACCAAACCTTTTGCTAAAGGTGCACTCCGTAATGCATATAAAACTTATATTAGGGCCAATCCAATGAAACTATATGATCATTTCTCATCTCCAACCCATGACAAATATCAAGAGGGTAAGAGAATGAATACCACTTTAATTCCAAAGCTATTAGGACAAGTTGACACCTTATATGTTGCAAAAGATTCAAAAACCAATGTTACTCCAGAAAGATATTTTGAAGATGTAAAAATGCAAATGATATGTAGGGAATATGGTGAAAGATATAATAGTAACCATCCACCAAAGAAGATTGAATTTTTATCGGCATGGGTTATAGAGGTACAATCGGGAACAGGTAAAAACGGAAGCAATCCATTGTATGGTATCGAATTATTTATGAAGGGTGAATTCAAAAAGCAAAATTCAAATTTCGGTTCAGTTTTATCAGATCGTAATACACCACAAGCATTTTCCCATTTTACATACGAATGCTCTGGTCACGATATGTTGGTTATAGATATTCAAGGTGTCGATGACTTTTATACAGATCCACAAGTTCATACAAAAGATGGTAAAGGTTATGGAGATGGAAATTTAGGTGCTCGTGGTATAGAAAGATTCCTTTCTAGTCATAAATGTAATCCAATTTGTCTTCAATTAGGTATTTTTAAAGATTCTTTAACTGATACACGTAATGCACATCGTGTCATCAGAGGCACCATGCTTTTACCAGATGTTGTTCCAGATTTACACGAACCAGAGTATCCATTACTGGAATCAATACCAAAGAATCCATTGCAATCAGAGTTGGTTTCAATAGCAGAGATTAGCGGTCACAGTGAAAGAGTTTGTTCATTAATAATTAACAAGGATAAAACAAGATTATATTCAGGATCAGCGGATGGCACAGTTAAAGTTTGGGATATAACATCATCAGAATTAGGGGATATAAAGCTTTTGGAAAGTTTTAGGGCACACAGAAGATCCATTGAAAAAATGGTAATGAGTGAAAAGTATTTATTTACAGCTTCATCAGATTATACAATTAAAGTTTGGCCATTACACAATATCACAGAATGTAAATACAAATTGGATGAGCACGGTGGAGAGGTTAATGATATGTGTATTGACGAGTATAATAATGTATTGGTAAGCTGCTCATTCGATAAATCTATCAAAGTTTGGTGTCTAGAAGGTGATCAAATAAAATGTGTAAAAACTTTAAATGCCCACACCAAGTCTGTAAAATCAATATATCTATCTGGAAAATATTTATTTAGTTCATCAAATGACCAAACTATCAAAGTATGGGATTTAGAAATGATGGTTTGTGTATTCTCTTTAGCTGATGCCCACGAGTCATGGGTTGTACTATTGCGTATGTTTAACAATCGTTTACTATCAGCCTCAAAAGATGGTCAAATTAAAGAATGGAATCTTTCAACTTTTCAAAGTACAACAACACTAGATGAAAACAATGCACCAATCACAGACACACTAGTAACTAGAAATGGCTATTCTTTTGTTGCCTCTGAAGATGCCACAATTAAAATTTTAGATTTAACAGCAGAGGACACAATGAAAATAATATATTCAGTTAAAGCTCATCGTTCAGGTGTTCAAACTCTATGCACAGATGGTCAAAGATTATTTAGTGGTGGTATAGATAATTTAATTAAAGTTTGGCACTGGAAAGATAAAAATTAAAAAAAAAGAACTTTATTTATTCAAATTCTTTTTAACAAACATATATATTTTTTTTTATTATATATTATAAAAAATTAAAATAAAAAAAAAAAAAAAGAAAATAAAAAACATTTTTTTAAAATATATTATTTATTATAATTTTGCTTTTAAATTATTATTGCTATTATTATTATTAATGTTTCCGCCTGCTTTTTTAATTAAAATCTTATCTATAAAATTTGGAAATATTGGGTGGAGTACCGATGCTAAAAAATTACTAAATGGAAAAGCCACTTTTTTCTTTCTGGAATCTATTGCAGCTACTACAATTTCACAACATTGATCTATTGTCATTTTTTTACTTTCGTCTTCGTGGAAGTGAATGTTTTTCTTTTCGTTTTGACCCAATGAATTTGATCTCATTGGTGTATTTACTGTAGTTGGTAAAAGTAAAGTAATATCGATATAGTTTTGAACTTCTAATCTTAATGCTTGGAAGAAACCATTGACTGCAAATTTAGAGGCACAATACCCAGCTCTTAATGGTAGACCTAATGCGCCTGATATTGAAGATATAACTGCAATTTGTGGTTTTTTAAAATTCTTATTATTACATTCCTTTTCATATTGCTTAATCATATAAGGTAATGCAAAATATGTAGTATACATGTATCCGAAATAATTTATATCCATCATTTGTCTATAAACACCTAAATCTGTACTGTCTTTGAATGAATTGTGGTATGATACTCCTGAGCATAGTAACAATAAATCTATTCTGTTAAATTCTTTAATTACCGTTTCGATTAAGTTTCTATATAGAGAATATTAAAGTTAAATTGGAATTAGTTACAAATAATAATGAAAATAAAAACACTATAGTATACATACTTGCAATCTTCTTCTTTAGATGCATCACATTTTACCACTAAATATTTATTTGAGTGTTTGTTTATAGCTTTTAATTCTTGTACAATTTTTTCTAATTTGTCAGAGCTTCTACTTGCTACGACAATATTAACATCTCTTTGGGCAAATATTTTGACTAATGCTTCGCCTATACCTGAAGATGAACCTAATATAACATAGCAAGGTTTATCATTGATAGTTGTCATTTTTATTAATAGATAATTAAAATAAATATAAAAAAAAATTTTGTTTTTAAAAAAATTAAAAAAAAATTAAAAAAAAAAAAATTAAAATAATTTTTCACAAATATACCCTCCATTCCCAAAAGAATATTATTAAATAGTTCTAAACGAAACCAAAATTGATATTTATATAAACTAGATATGAAAACCTCATCAATACTTACCGAATTATGGAATGTTTGAAACTAAAATTTTCAAATATATGTATAAATCTAAAAATAATAACTTCCGCTACAAAAAAAAAAATTATAATTACCATTTATAAAAATATAAAGATAAAAAAAAAATTGATAATAATTAATTTAGGTAAATATATATTCCCATATACACTAAAAAATTATTTAATTTTCTATTTAATGATTTAAATAAATAACACACACCATATTATGTTTTATCTAATCTCACTTGTGTATTCACACAATAAAATGTTTATATATATATTCCCCCACTTTGGTTGTGTTTACCCCCAAAAATTTTATCATACCTTTTTTTTTTTTTCTTATTTCATTTTTTTATTTTTATTTTTTTTATTAAAATTTTTATTTTTTTTTGTTAATCATGATTATTAAATTATTTATAACACTTAAATAAATTAAAAAGGGAAAAATAAATTAAAGAGGGTAAAAAGATAGTTAATTAATTTTTTATTTTTCAAGAAATTTTTTTTTTTTAAATTTTTTTTTTTTTTTTTTTTTTTTTTCTATTTTTTCTATTTTTTCAAAAAAATTTCATTTATTGATAACAATAATAATGCAAAAAAAAATATAAAACATAAAATTTAAAATATATATTTTTTGTAAAAACAAAAGGATTATAAGAAAAGGACATAATAATAATAATAAAAATAAAAGATTAAAATAAAACTCTTATCAATAAAAAAAAAAACACCCACTTTAAAAAAAAAAAACAAAAAAATAAACACCCACAACAATTGTTAACTTATTAATTAAAATAACAATAAATAAATTTAATTAATTAATATACAAACAAATAAATAGAATATATTATAATATATATAAAATATATAAATAATAATATTTGTTTGTTTTTTCAGGTGTTTGTTTGTTTTTTAATTTTTCCTATTTTTCTCTTTTTTTTTTATTATTATTATTATTAATAATTTTATTTATTTATTTATTTATTTATTATAAAAATATCACGCATATACCACACCATATACTTGTATCAAATAAATAAAATAGTGGCAGTAGTAATAAAAATAATAACAAGAATCAAAACATAGCATCATATATAGAATTTAAACATATATTGCGTTACATAGTCAAAAAAAAGAGGATAAAAAAAAAAGTAAAGCCTATATAGGTTTTTTTATATACTTTAAATTTCTATTTCTTTATTATTTAAAATTAGAATATATAAATGGAGAAAATTAGGAATACAGTAGAAAGATTATCATCAATAGATGTATCAATTCAAGAAAATTGTTTAAGAATTTTAATTAATATATCCACCGATGGTATGCTAAATCAAATTTTTGATAGTAATAAAAGATAGTAGATGATTAATAAATTTTTTTTTATAGATCAATACCATAAAATTATTCTAGATTTAGTAGGGATAAAGAAATTTAAAGAATTATTGCAATCACATAATGAAGTTATTCAAATGCTTTCGACATGGTTATTAAGCCATTTAAGTTTTAGGTGTATGTTTAAATAATAACATTAGTAATAATAATTATAATAGTTATAGTAATGGATAATAATACTAATAATTAATAATATTAAAAACAATATAAAATTTATAATAAAATAATAATATTCATAAATATATAATATAGTCGAAAATAGTGAAGTTATTTTAAAATCAGATTTAATTCCGGTAATAAAAAAGTTATTATTATCAGAAAATGAGGATATTGTAGAGAAAGCTTTATGGTTAATGCGAAATTTAACAATTAATGGTAATCATTCGCATTTATTAATAGAATATGGTATAGTGGATTCATTAGTAGATTTTTTAGATAAAAGCAATTATCATTTGATAATATTAGCATCAGAGCCCTTAAGAAATTTATTACACAAAGATACATGTGGGGAATATTTGGATAATCAAAAAGTATTTTGCCACAAAAAATCAACCGATAAAATAAAAAAGTTATTAACAAGTGGGTATCCAACTAATCAACTAATAATGTCATTAATAACGTTAATCCATGTCCTCAGTATATATCATCCATTAATTCGTAGAATTGTAGCAGTATCAGGTGTATTGAATCAATTAATTAGTTATTTATCTTCACCTTCAGCTCCATTAGAAATCAAAAAAAAGGTTATTATTATTCTTATAAATTTATCATTGACCGAAGAGACCGAAAGAGCCATATTATCGGTGGGTGCTATCATGCCGTTGGTGGATATTGTTGTATCAATTAGTTCAAGTGTAGAGTTAAAGTCATTGTGTGTTAGTTGTTTAGCAAATTTAACCTCAAATCCAGATATTAGAAGAGTACTCAGATCAAACTATCTTATTGACGGTCTTTCCGAACTACTTAAAGAGAAATCTAGTCATACTAGCCAGCTTTTAGAATCAATCTCACTCTTGATTGCCAATTTATGTATAGATGAAATATGTCGATTTAAAATTAGTCAATCAGATTGTGATAGAGCTTTGTCAGAGTTGATCGATTATCCTCATTTACAAGTTAGAGAAAGAATAACGAATGCTTTAGAAAATATCAGAGTACCCATTTCCTTTGAAACTTTAAATGAATTAGCAGATATAGAAGATATGTCGGATTTAGAAGATCCTTCTGGTAGTCTAAGTGGCTTTTCATCATCATCCTCACCATTTGGTGGCTTTTCATCATCACCTTTAAATCAAAAGGGTTCAATTTTACGTATATCTAGAAGTATATCGCCTGTTAACAATTTACTCTTTAATAATAACAATAACAATAATAATATAAGTAATAGTAATAGTAATAGTAGTAATAATCTAATGGCTTCACCAACATCATTTTCCCCAAAATCACCCACTCCAATCACCCAATCACCTTCAAACTCAAATACTCAATTACAACAGCAATCATTACCACAATCACCATTATCATTACAATCATCTCAACAACAACAACAATCATTACCGCAATCACCAATTAGATCTCCAGAGCAATCACAACAACAGCTTCAACCACCATCCGAAATTTTAACAATTAATTCTATGATACCGCCACCAATGCAAGATGATCCAAATAAAATATTTAGAAGAGGCAGAATTATCAAAGAAATTATTGATACAGAGCAGGCTTATGTTCATGCACTATCAGTTTGTATTAGAGTTTATTATAATCCATTAGTTGTATCACCAACAGTACCACCAATTTTACCTTTAGATTTGGTAGAAGTTATCTATTCAAACATTGATAAAGTTTTCCGTATCAATTGTGAATTCTTAAAGAAATTAAGAGGGATGTCAGATAAGAAGGATGTTTTAGAACTAGCACAAGCATTACAATGGTATTGGGATCAACCATCAACCATTCCAGAATATCGTACATATATTAATGGATTCAACAGAGCAATGGATACTGTGCACGAAAATAGAGCAAAGCTACCAAAGTTTAAAGAGTTTTTAGAAAAGTGCCAATTCTCTGAACAATGTAAAAGTGAAACTATCGATTCTTATTTAATTAGACCAGTTCAACGTATTCCAAGATACATTCTCTTGTTATCTGATTTATTGGTTCACACTGTGGATATGTTGGAAAGAAATGCAATCGAAGAAGTTTTAAGAAGAACAAAACTCATTACTGATCAACTAAATGAATCTAAAAGAAAAGCAGAAAATTTAGCCAAAACTGTATTATTGCAAGAAAAAGTTGTAGGTTTAACAGAAATTTTAATATCAGGGTATAGCAATAAAGATATTAATGGTGGTGGGGGTGGTAGTAATCATGGCAGTAGTAATTCATTACTTAGCAATAGTAAAGATAACAATACTAGTACTTATGGTAGTGCTAGCAATGGAAATGGTAGTGGTGGAAGTAGCCTAACATCAAGTACAAATTCAAACTATGGTAGTAGTGGTGGTGGTGTTTCAAATAATAATAATAATCATTATCATAACCATAATAATAATCATAATAATCATCATAGTATAAGTTTAACAACAGGTCTTAATAATAACAATGGTAATGTCAATAACAATAATAATAATATAAATAATAATTTCTTATTGAATAGTAACAATTTAATACCAGCCTCAAGATATTTAGTAAAAGACGGATTAATGATGGAATCAAGACAGAAAAAAGTTTCGAAATACAGATATTTAATTTTATTTAGTGACATATTATTTATTACAAAACAAAAGAAAAACAAATATACACTATTTAAAACCGTACCACTTATAGATTTAAAAATTTTAGAAATGCCCCAACCACAAAACGAAACCGGTTTTTATTCATTCCAAATTTTATGGAGCGGTCATAACGATAAAAAGGAAAATGGTATGGTTATTTATACATCAAATCTAGAAGAAAAAGAAGAATGGGTTAAAACTTTGAAAGATGCTTGCAACTTTATTAAAAAATCTCATTTAACCAATATAATGAGAACTCATTTAACTATTAACTAAATAAAGTATAAAAATAAATTAATAAATAATTTTTATAGTTAATATAAAAAGAAAAAGTGTGTTAGATTTTAATCACATTATAAACCAAATATCAAATAAATAATTTAAATAAAATTAATGAAAATTAAATATTAATTTGAAAATAATTTTGATTACGCTTTATTAACTTTATATTTATTTTTCAACTGCAATATAGTTAACAGTGACATCGTATAATATGTTACTACCCCATGTAATAAATTTAGCATCAAAGCCAGTTGTTGAAACATTGACAGCTTCGACACGGTATCTCAATTGACCATTATCGGTTGAACCATCAATTTGGGTGGTTCCGAGGGCAACCATTGGTATCTTGTTGAATGGTTTATCAAAGTTAATATGACGAAAAGTTTCACGATGTCCACTACCGGAATTAAGAGCTCCATCACCAATACTAGTACGACCAACTTGTACAATGTTGCTTTCTGCTGGTTTGGCATAAAGTTCCCAACTATTTTAAAATATAAAAAAAATTTTAAATAATTTAGTATAGTTTTTTTAAAATTATAATATAATTTTTGTTTTTTTAATTATTTACCGAAGTGCAATGTGGTTATGGTATGTAACTGGATGGATAGAAACAGATCTAGCACGAAATGGTTGTGGGAAAACATGGACTACAATTGAGTATTGATCAGTATTTCCATTGAAAACTTGACCATTGTTATAATCAAACCATGTTACATTGTCCAAGGAGTATCTGAGTTTATATGAAGTAACCCATTGATCTAAATAAAAATAATTTTAAAAGTTTAATAAAATTTTAAATTAATATTTTTAAAAATATAATTATAAAAAACTGTATACATACCAGCATCACCACGGCCTTGGGTTATAATAGCAACAAATTCACTTATTACTAGACTACCTGCAATGAGGAATTGGCCAGGATCATTGGTTGAAGCACACCATGCTTCTGATCCATCAAATCTACTTTTATCTTGAGAATTCATAAAGTTTAAAACAGAGTTTTTAGCACCATGATCAGCATTAAGGTCAGATGAACTACGTAAATTTAACAAAGCATTGGCTAAACATGAAACACTACCAGCTGGGATTTCTCTAGACATTTTGTTAATTTGAAAAACTGGATAACTAAAAATAAATAATAAATAAAGATATAATAAATATTTTTTTACAAGAAAGATTTTAATAAAAAAATGATTAAAAAAATATTTTTAAATATATTTTTTTCAACAAAATAAATTAGATTTTAAAAAAAAAATACAAAAATCAAAATTAAATAAATTGATAAGTTAGCCAAAAAATCTAAAAAAAAATTAAAAAAAATTACTATAAAAAACACGCAATTGATTTTATTTGATTATTTAAATCCCACAATAATCAATAGATTTTTTATCAATCACTCTATAATTTGAAAATGAAATTAAAATTTTCAAGAATTCCTTACAGCAATATAACATTCAAAATTTAACTCTGAAATCTTGAATTCTGTATTTGATTTTTTTTTTTTTAATTTATGTTATTCATATTGTATATTTATTTGATTATTAGAATGATATTTATTTTTTATCTATAACTAAAATAGCTCCATCTACATTACACATAAATAGTTTCTCTAACTAGTATTTATATTAATAATAATAATAATTAACAATTATATTTTAGTTTCATATGTTTTAATTTTTATTTTTTTATTATATTTTTTTTAATTTATTGTTTTTTAATTTTAATTAACAAGATGGAAAGATAAAACATAGAGGCTTTGCTCTCCTGGATAAATATTATTTATTACTTCTTTTAATTGATCTAAAGTCATGTTTTCTTGCTTGGCATGGTTATCATTTAGTTGATTATAATCTATTGTTGATACATCGTCTATCTCTATAGTACAAAAAAATACATTATCTTCGTATCTGTAAACATTTAATATTTCACCTTTTGAGTAATGGGACTCTAATCTATTTCTAATTGTAATGGTTTTTAATCCTTTTAAAATATCTGATTCGAATCTGCCATAAAAAGTTATTTTTTTTTCTTTCATTTTGTTTATAATTAAAAAAACAAAAAATTTATAAAATTAAAAAATTAAAAATAAAAAAAAAACCAAAAAATAAAAAAAAAAAAACCAAAATATAATAATTTAAGAAAACTATAATAAAATTATAACACAATTATTATTTCAAAAAAAAAAGAAAAAGAAAATATTTTTAAATAATTTATAAAAATATGGATTTTAATATATAAAAGTGTATGTGGGTTTTTTATAAAATGGTACACTACATATAGAGTTCTTTTTAGGAGCTACTAAAAAGTTTGGTGTACGGGCTATTGGAAGAATTGACCGTTTGATTAAAGTCGCAATTTAAAACCAAAAGAATGAAAGACACAAAAAAAATTATAATATTATTTTATCAGATAATTTCAAAACCCTCCAATTTAATAAAATTATTGAATATCTAAAGATTTTTATTATTACACAATATGGAAAAATAATATCAACAAAAGCATTAAAATTTCCAATAAAAAAAATAAATTTTCTTACTTTTTTACAAAAAAGTTAAAAAAATTTAAAAAAAGTAAAATAAAAAGAAATCATCAAACATCATCCCATAAAATCAAATTAATTTTAAAAAAAGTTGCTCTTAAATTTAATTTTTAAAAATAAAATCAAGAATTCCTTACAGCAATTAAACTCATTCAAAATTTAACTCTGAAATCTCGAATTCTGTTTTTGATTTTTTTTTTTTTTTGATTTTTGTAAAATATTAAATATTCTAAAAAATAATATTTAAATAATAATATTTGGTTATGATTTGGTGTTGATGAAGTATGCTCTTTAATTGCATATTTTTATTTTAGTTTTTATTTTTAAATTTTGAAATTGGGTGAAGTTAGAAAAAAAAAAAGAAATAATTAATAAAAAATAAATAAAACAAACTTTTTGTTAATTATTCAATATTAAAAAAAACAAACCATAAGTATGTTTTGTTTATTGTTTTATACTCTTAAGGAAAATTATTAAAGTTTTAAAGATCGATCTAATTAGTTTTTTGCTAAACCACTTCCACTACCGCTTCCACTGCCACTACCTATACACCATTAGGGAATGATATTAGTAATATGTATTTTAATGTTTATACTATTTAATTAGTAACTTACCACTACCACTTGAACCACTGCTACTACCTGAACCACTGCTACTACCTGAACCACTGCTACTGCCTGAACCGCTGGTGCTACCTGAAGCTGAGGTTTGACCTGAGGTGCTACCTGAAGCTGAAGTTTGACCTGAGGTGCTACCTGAAGCTGAGGTTTGACCTGATGAACTGCCTGATGCTGAGGTTTGTGAGGTAGTACCTGATGCTGATGTTCCACTTTGGCTTGATGTACCTGATTGTGAACCAGTTTGTGAACCAGTTGGGACACCAGTAAGTGGTGAACCAGTTTGTGAACCAGTTGAAACACCGCTAGTTGGTGAACCAGTTTGTTGTGATCCACTTTGTGATCCACTCATTGAACCAGTTTGATGTGATCCACTTTGTGATCCACTCATTGAACCAGTTTGGTGTGAACCACTGGTTTGACTACCTGATTGGCTTGAACCTGATTGTGAACCACTTGTTTGGTGGGATGATGATGATGAAGATTTACCACTTGATGAACCACCTGTTGAACTTTTACCACTTGAGCCACCTGTTGAGCTTTTACCGCTTGATGAACCACCTGTTGAACTTTTACCACTTGAGCCACCTGTTGAACTTTTACCTGTAGAAGCAGTGGTGCCTGATGTTGAACTTGAATCGCATTTATTCCAATTTTTACAATCTCCATTTGACCATGTGGTCCATGCATTATAACCTTTTAAATTAATTGGTGTTAAATAAAATTTTTTTAAAAAAAAAACAAGATAATTAAATATTATAAAAAAAGACATTTACCTTGAGCATTTAAAACAGCAAGAGCACATTTAGCATTAATTTCTGGATTGAAAAGATCTGATGGAGTGGTACAATCTTTACATAATTCACCCTATATAAAAAAAAAAAAAAAAAAAAAAATTAATATGATTTATAAAAAAATATTTTAAATATTTTTACATACACAATGTTCTGGTAAAATTTGCCATAAACCAGATGCTGAACTACCTTTATTTTCAGCAGTTGTAATCCATGAGGATTCATAATATGAAATACAAATCATATTAGTAATGGTTTGTGAGGATGCGAAAGTTTCACCAGCAAGTTGTTGCATTTGTGAACAACTGAGAGTGTCGGCATTAACAGTTCCTGAAATTGCAATAGCTGCTGCGACAAGAGCTGCGAAATATTTTTTAAAATTCATCTTTAAAATCGATAACTATTTATATAAATAAAATAATTGTGTAAATAAAAAAAATAAAATATAAAAAAAAAAATATTTAGATTTTTTTTTTTTTTTTTTATGTAGTTTTAAAATTTTTATCAATAGTTTTTTTTTATAATGAAAACTTTAATAACTATTCTGCCATAGGAATAATCGAAAAAATAATTTTATAAACAATATCCTCATATCATGTCTAAAACCATTTCAAATTTTATTTTCTTTGGTGGCTATGATATCATATTACACGAAAAAATATTTTTTTATTTTTTTATTTTATTTTATAAAATTTATTTTATTTTATATTTTTTTATTTTATTATTTTTGGGTCCATTTTAAATTTTTTTTTTTATATTTATTGGTATCTCTTTTAAAAAAAGAAGGATCCTCTCTTTAAAAAAAATTAAAAAAAATAAAAGTTTTATTTTAACAATTGTAAAATAATCAACCCTTGATCGGTTGGAGTTTGAGTAGATCCCCGTTACTTTTTTTTTTTTATTTTTTTTTTATTTTTAAAATTACTTTTTTTTTTTTTAATTTTTTAATGTGATTTATGTTATTAAAAAAATATTTATAGAATTTTTGATATTGATAACAAAATTTATTAATAATATATTTAATTATAAAATATTTTTATTATAATTTATTAAATTTAAATTATATTATTAATCAAAAAAAAAAAATGAAATATTATTTTTATATTTTTATTTTATTAATTATTTTTAAAGTATCTTTAATAAAAACAAATGTAGCATTAGGGTATGAAAGTTTTACTATTTCTGGTCCTGGTTGTGACTCTAATTTAAAGATTACAATGGATGGTTGTAATTCAATATGTGGGGTTTATTTTTCAATAAAACAATTATCATCAGATATAGAATCTTATAACGCAACATTATACATTGTTAAAGAACCTCCTCAAGATACAAAGGAACCAATAACCAAAGAACCAAATGAAACAGAACCACCAACAGAAACTACTGCACCTCCTGCAACTGATACTCCTGCACCTCCTGGAACTGCTACACCCGGTCCTCCTGATCCTTCCACTCCTGCACCTCCTGCAACTGCTACACCAGGACCTGCTGATCCCTCTACTCCTGCACCTCCTGCAACTGCTACACCGGCACCTGCCAATCCCTCTACACCGGCACCCCCTGTAACTGATACACCAACCGAAGGACCTACCGAACTTCCATCTGGAGGTGGTGACCCACCCATGGAGGAGCTAAATATTGAAAATTTATCATTTACAATTTCTGAAGAATCAAAATGCATTATTGGTAACAAGATTAATGAATTTAATTTTGTATGCTCCGAAGAACCATCAACCATAACATACAATGGGACACAATATAATGTTACTTGTCATAAGGGAAGTGATAGCTCTGTTGAGGGAAATGATGGATCAAATTCATCAAAACTTATTCTAAATTTAACATTTATTTTCTTTACAACACTTGTACTTTTAATAATAGTTTAAATAAACAGTAAAATTCGTTTTATTACAATTTTTAAAATAATATTTAATTTTATTTATTGTTTTTTTTTTTATTTAAAAAAAAAAAAAAAATTATAATTATAAGGAAATCTTTGATATCATTTTTTATATCTCACTTCTGTTTCTTTATAATTCTCTCTTAATGGTGGTTTTTCATGACCGGAATATCTTTTTTATAATGATGATTAAAAAAAAAGATGATCAAATTAATTTTTCATTTATTGTTTTAATATAAATGAAAAAACCAAATTAAAATTAATCTTTTAAATTCCTCCCACCTATTTAATTAAAGAATACAGAAACTTTGAGAAAAAAAGTATATATAATTCTGATTTGTAAAGTTCTTTTTGATTAGCATTCTGGCGGTTTGTAAACTGTGGGTAATTTTGTTACTATATTATTTTTAAAAAAAAAATTAGTTTATATAAAACTAAAATAATAATCTATTAAATTTCTAATTACTTCATATAACATAGAATTGTTTTTTGTAAAAAATAGTAGTGTTGTTTTTTGTAAAAATAAAATAGAAATGATTGAAAGTATTTATTTATTTTGTAAACTGTTATAAAAAAAATGTGCAAAAAATAATAAAAAAAATTTTAAAAAAAAGTCTTAAAACGGAAGGAATCAGTTTTTGTTTTTTTTTCGATTTCAAGGAGATATTTTTTAGTTTTAAAGAAACTGTTAAAAAATAATATTTTTAGGGTTTATTGATTTTTCTTTTAAACTATAACAATTTCATTGATAAAAAAAAGAATTTGTCATTTTAAAAAGAGCATTTAAAAAAAAAAAAAAAAAGTTTTTATTTATTTATTTTTTTTTTATTTGTTTATTTTTTGATTATTTGTCTTTGAGTACTGCCTCAATAAGGAAATCGTCCTCCATATCCTCATCTTCTGGTGTGGAACTTGGGTTTAATGCCATACCATCAAACCTTAGGACAATTTTTTTATCTGCTGGTAATGTTATTCCAATCTTTTTTATTAAAACCAAAATTAATTTTGAAAATGGATCAGACTATAATAAGAAAAAAAAAAAAAAGTATTGGTAACAGTTCGAAATTTATCATATTATTATATTTTTATCATTTAAAGAATATAAACTACATACCTTTCCAATTTTAAATTTATGCTGTTGTTTTTCATAGGAAACCTTTAAGATAACTTTTGGTATATCGTCATCGACTGGAGCAGCTGTTGTGGTGGTAGTTGTGGAAGTTGTGTTTATATTAAAGTCCAATGGGATTGCTGGTTCTGATGCTTTAATTGTGACCTCTAAAATATCATCGTCCAATAAATCCAAATCTCTTGGGGTTTTTTTTGAATCCAAGGGTAAACCATAAAGTTTGAATTGAGCTGTTTTTGAGTCTAAATTTTTTTTACCACAATATAAATCTAAAAGTTTTTGAAGCTCTGTGTCATAATAAAATATAATTTTTTCATTTGCTTCACCTGCCAATTTTATTACCAAAGGTATTCCGTCATTCTTTTTCTTTGGGGTGGGAATTGAGCCACTTGTGTTTGGTGATGAAGAATATATTGTATCAAAACTATTGTTGTTATTATTGGATGCAGTAGTATTCGTTTTATGACTAAAATTTGAAGAAGTTTGTTTTAAAAGTGATTGTAAATTTGTTTTTGTATATACAAGTGGTTTGGAATCTTCATTAATATCACTGTCACCACCATCTTCATCATCGTCCAATAAAAATACCTGTTTATTATTGCTCCTATTATTACTATTATTGTTATCATTAACATTATAATTATTATTACTATTTACAAAATTGAAATCATCATCATCATCTATACTAATTGATAATGTATTACTCCCATTACTGCCATTACTTCCACTGCTAGAGGTTATACTTCTATCATTTGTTTTTTTAAATTTTTTTGTTGTTGAGTATATTGGCTGTTTATTTCTCTTTTTTGAATTGTCAAAACTTTCAAATGTCTCTACAATTTCATCATCATCTTCATCATCTGATATATCTATAACATCTATAAATAAAAAAACAAATTAGATTAATAAATTAATAACTATTAATTAATATTTCATGAAATTAAATCTAAAATAACTATATCTTACCTTCTTCTCTTAAAGATCCTCTATACGTAAACATATCTGCAAAATCATCCGCCATTTTTAATTTTATATATATGCATATGTTTTATTAACGATTTAATTAATCTTTGTTTAAAAGTTTCAAAAAATAAAAAATAATTTAAAAAAAATTTAAAAAAAAAGTTTTAAAAAAAAAAAAAAAAAAAAAAGAAAAAAAAAAAAAAAAAATAATAATTTTAAAAAATTAAAATTTTATAAGTTTGTGGTGTGTGAAAAAGGGTGATGAGCATACTTATAAAGATGTCTTTGTTTTGATTTCTATTTATAAGTATTAAATGAATAAATTTATATTTAATTTTATTTTCAATAAAATGTTAAATTAAATAACCAATTTCCATTCCCATCAAAATTATAATAAAATTAACCCCCATCATTAATTAAGCGCAAGCTTTTTTTAAAAAAATTTCTTTTTGAAAACAATATTGGAGAAAAAAAAATTTCGTATTTTCATTCTTTTTTTTTTTAATTATTTATTATTATTTTTTTAAAAAAAAAAAAAATTAAAAAATTAAAAAAAAGTAAAATAACAGGCTGAGGTGTCGCAATCACCAGCATTACAATAAATAAATATTATAAGGTGGAAATATTTTGCCTACAACTTTTATTTTTTTATTTTTTTATATTTTTATCAATAATATTTAAAATTTTTTTGTAATAACATAAAATTTATGTAGTATCTAATCAAGTCAATAAATTAAAAATTCGAATTTAATCTTTATCATCAATCAGCTATAGTTTTTATTTGTTACATTTTATATATATTTGGTTATTTAATATAAATTAATTTAGAAAATAAATTAAAAAAAAATATAATAGAATGTCTTCAATATCATTAGAAACTAAAAAGGAATATATAGACACAGAGGTATTATTAAGAAATAGAGAAAATTTAAAACAACATACATTCAATAATACTGCAACCCCGCAACCTCAAAACTATAGCGAAAAATCAAGATTATTAAATAATAACAATAATAATAGTAATGGAAATGTTTATAAATACAAGTTAAGCTTTTTCGAAAAGTTTTCATATGGTATTGGTGAGGGAGGTCTATCAATTTTCCAAATGATCAAAGGTTTTTTTTTAAATTCATTTCTTTTAAATGTAGCACAAGTAGATCCAACATATACAGCATTAATTTTATTTACAGCAAAATTTGTTGATGCGTTCAGTGATGTATTCGTTGGAAATTTAAGTGATAGAACTAAAAGTAGATGGGGTCGTAGAAGAGTTTGGATATTGTTTGCATCGCTACCATTTGCAATTTTATATTGTGCATTATGGTATGTGCCCAATACAAGTGGTGTGGGACGTTTAATCTATTATCAAGTTATTGTCATTGCTCTCAGTATAGCGTATACATGTGTTGCTATTCCATACAGTGCAATGAATGCTGAAATCACAGAAGATTACGATGAAAGAACTTCTTTAGCTGGTATTAGAATGATATCTTTAATGATTGGTGGTCTTATAAGTTCATTTTCACATTCACTCATTATCAAGGTATTTCATACTTATACAGCAAATGGCACAGAGTTGATAGACTATCAAAGGGGTTATCTATTATCAGGTGGAATTTGGGGTGGCGCTATGTTAATTCCTTTAGCAATCACATTTATAGGCACTAGAAATATCCCAACAGAAAATACAGTGGAATCACACATACCATTTTTTAAAGGTTTACTAGTAATGTTTTCAAATCGTGCATTTATCACTGTAACATTATTATATTTCTTTTGTCAAGTATGTAATACCATTATCTATAAAGAAATCAATTATATTTTATTTATTAACTATTATTTTTATCATGATATTAGATTGCAGTTCAATTTGTTCAAAACAACTTACTATTATATTGTACATATGTAGCAGATGCAGAAAAAGAATTTCCATATATTTTAGCAACCTTGCAAATTTCAGTATCATTTTTTATATTTTTTTGGGGTAAAGTATCACAATACATCGGCAAAAAGATTGTATACTATATCGGTGGTGTATTTTTATTATTAAGTTTTGTCGCACTCTATTTCTTACCAAATGGATCAACGAATTTATTGTGGGGTACTGCAGCATTCAGTGGTGTTGGTGTATCTGCAGCATTTTTGGTGCCAATGTCAATGTTACCAGATGTTGTCGAATTGGATGAGTTAAAAACCGGAGAACGTAGAGAAGGTCTATTCTATAGTTTGTTTTTATTTTTCCAAAAATTAGGTTTATCAGTCGGTTTAGCAGTATCAAGTTTTGTATTGGGTTTAGCAGGTTACGAAGCACCAAAAGAAGTTAATTCCTCAGATGGTATTTCAACAGAAATTATAGATACAAATACTCAAAACAAAGATGTTATTTTTGCACTTAGATTATTAACTGGTGTTGTACCCGCCGTAATTGTATTATTTAGTTTTGTTGCAGTTTTCTTTTATCCAATTTCAAAATCATCTCACAATGAAATCCGTGAATTATTAAAAAGAAAGAGAGAAGGTGCATCTGTAACAGTTGATGATATAAAATATTAATAAATAAATAATATAAAATATAATAAATAAAATAATAATAGTTTATAAATAATTATTAGTATAATAATAATATTAAAAAACTGTATTATTTAAAAAACTAAAATATAAATAAAAACTAAAAAACTAAAAAACTAAAAAAATTAAAATAAATAAAATAAACCATATTTAAATTAATAAAATTAAATTTATTTATTTATCTTCTTTTCTTATAACGACTATCTTCAAACTCTTCATAATCTTCATGGTTACCACCATTATCCTCTTCATTACCATCGTAATTGTCATCTTCGTAATCTTCGCTGTAATCGTCTTCTTCCTCTTCTCTACCCTCGAATGATTGTAAATAGTCTTTTTTCTGTTTCGATTCATCTAAATAGTCTTCAAAATGGGCTTCTTTTCTTTTCTTTATTAATTCTTGATGTGAATTATAGACTTTAATATCTTTTTGATAAGTAACAAAGTCACCTAATGCTTTATAACACTCTGCTCTTTCTTTGAATGCTTTGATTTGGCTGGGTTGTTTTTCAATGACATAGTCGAAATCTAAAATTGCTTCGGTATATCTTTTTAGTTGAAAGTTTGTTTTACCACGGAAATAATGACCTGATATGATGTCTAATATGCTACAATCATTGTAATTGAATTTAAAATCTTCAGTTGGTACAATACCCATACTTTTTGGATTATAATCTGCTACTAAACCATGTTGTTCTATTAAGTTTTGTTGCTGTTGTTTTTCTTGCTCTGAAAACATCTTTAAATTGTTATAGTTGTAATTATTTTCAAATTGCATTCTTTCTTTTTCCAATAGGGCATTGATCATTAAAATGTTCATTTGATTTGGGTGACCGATATTTGATTTTGATATTTCGACACTGTGGGTAAATTCCTCCAATGCTTTTGAAAACTTTCCATCTTTTAATAAAGTTAAACCATATCTAAAATGAGCATCAACCAATTCTTTGGGTCTTAATGTGTAGAGTAACGAATTTTGATAAAATTCTTTGTAATGCTTGAAGAATAGTGAAAGAATCACCGAGGCAATTGCTTCTTTGTTTTGAATGATTAGCATTTCAGAAGCCAATAGTAAACTTGGTGGATGAGTTTTAGAACACATTAATGCTTTGTTTGATAGATTGAAACATGCTAATAGGTCTGGTTGCAATTGTTTGAGAATACATCTGGATACACCAGTGTAGCCATCGGGTGCATTTGGATTTAAAACTATAACAAACTTCCATAGATCTAGAGCATTCTCTAAAATCTTTTGAGATATTAACGACTCTGGGTCATTCTTTAAATCAAATTCTTTTTCTTGAATAATCGACTTTAAACAATAAACCTTATAGAGTTCTTTGGGATATGCTGATGCATCTTCACTGTTTTCGATTTCGCCTCTAATGGAGTCTCCAGCACCATTGGTAAACAATTTTAATGATAGATCTAATGAATTTTTTGCATCTGTAATCAAACCAATTCTATATTTAACCAATGCAATTCTATGATGGATTGAAGCCCTTTCAATTCTATCTCTAGTTAATGCCAATGCATCTTCATAGCATTTTACGGCCAAATTCATATTCTTTAAATTTTTTGTATCTTCTGTTAATGCATCACCTTTTCTAACTTCTTTTTCGACCTTGAATGAAAATTCATTTAAAATATTGATATTATTATTATTCTTTGTTGTTGAGTAATATTTGTTATTATTGAACGTAATAGTATTATTACTGTTATCGGTAATGTTATTATTTTTATTATTATTAAATATATGTTTATTATTGTTAATGATTAATTCATTTTTATTTATATTTTGATTAATTATTGTGGTTGTGGTTGTTTTACTATTATTATTATTATTTTGATTAAAATAACAATAGTGTCTTATTGATTTTAAGATTTCATTTTTATTATAATTTTGATTTTTAAGATTTATTATATTTTTAAACATTTATATAATCTGAATATTAAAATACAAATAATTAAAAAATTTTAAAAAAAAAAAAAAAAAAAAAAAAAAAAAAAAGTAAAAAGTAAAAAACGAAATTTTTTTTTTATTGTTTGTAAATTATTTTGATTAAAAATCAAAAATTAAAAGTTAAGTTATTTAATTTTTGATTAAAAATTAATAGTTAAGTTATTTAATTTTGAAAAAAAATTAAATGCTATTTTTATTAATGATGGTGCTGTTATAATTAGAAGTAGTGGTGATTAATTGTTTTTTGTTTTTTGTTTTTTGTTTTTTGTTTTTTGTTTTTTTGTTTTTTTGATTTACATAATTTCCAAATTTACAATGATTTTTTTTTTTTTTTTTAATTTCAATAATATTTAAACAAATATGTAAAATAAAATTATTTTTTAAGGTAATAATAACAATAATAATGATGATAACAAGACAAAAGTATATATAATAATAATAAATTAATTATTTAGATTTAATTTTATTTATATTATATTATATTTATTTATTTATTTATTTATTTATGTATGATATAAAAAATCAATAGTAATATGTTTATTTATTTATTTATGTATGATATAAAAAAAATTGGGGGTATTTACCCCGTTTAATAAAATTTTGGTGCTCATATTAATAATTGATTGTTGTTGTATTATAACAATATTATTGTATTGTTTAAAATTAGAATAATAGTATTACTTTATTGTTATTTATATTTTTGTTTTTTTATTATTTTAATTTTTATTTTTATTTATTTTTTTTTTTCAAATTAAAAAACATAAATAGATAGCATAAATCTATTTTTTTTTATTCATTTGTAAAATATACAACTTATAAAAAATAATTTAAAATAAATAAATATAAAAAATAAAAAATAAAAAAAATTAAAAAATAAAATTTAAATTTTGTTTTTTTTTTTTCTTTTTTCTTTTTCTTTAACATACCATAAAAAATTTTTATATTTTTTATTTATTATAATAATTTCTTTTAATAGCAGGAAATTTTTCCACCTCGTAAAAACTCCTCATTTATTTTACGAAAATATTTTAAAGAAAAAAAATAAAAAAATAAAATAAAACTATTCACTAACATAAACACACACCTAATAGAGAACCAATAATAACTATTGTAATAAAATATATAAATTAATAATAATTCCATTTATAATATTATGCTATTACCAACATTATAATAATTTATAAAGAAAAAGTTTCATTTTTCATTTACAAATTTTTGGTTAGTAAAAAGAATAAAGATGAATTTTAATAATCATACATATCAACAACACCAACAACAACAACAATACCAACAACAACATCAACAACAATATCCACAACAATATCCACAACAATATCCACAACAATATCCACAACCACAACAACAACCACAACAATCACAACAGGAAATAATTAATTTCATTCATAATTCAGGTGTTGAGATTTATTGTGATGCTCCTTCATTTTCAGACGAATATAATATAAATAATTTAATAACACCAAATAATAATAATGGATTTCTAGCTTCTTCATTTTTGAAACCACCAATTGATATTACAATATCATTACCGTAAGTAAATCTATTGGTTTTATCATAAAATGTATTATAGCTATTAACTTTAAAATAATATAATCTTTAGATATCCAATCGATTTAGAAAGAATTGGGGTTTACAGTAAAGTAGGAACATGTGTTTCACAGTCAATGTCATTTTATATATCAGAATATTCGATGAGTGAGTTAATAACAAACACAAATAACAAAGCAAATACACCATTATCATATTCACAAGGGGCCGTATTTTCACCACCATCAACAGCAACATTATCATCATCGACCTCATCACATTTGGTTGTAAATTCAAATACTGATTTATCAGTAGAGCGTTACCCAGGGGCTAGACCACAATATCCCCATCAACATCAAGGTACAACAATTAATATAGGCGGAAGTATCAGTGGTTTTAATTTTGGATCTATGAATAACAATAACATAGGTAGTTTAAATGTATACACCTCAATGACATCCTTATCATCGTCATCACAAGCATGCTCATCATCATCATCACCCTATTCCACATCGCCCTCAACTCGTTCAAATCTATCACAATCATTACCAACAACCCCTATCAGTAGCAGCATTAATAGCAATAGCAACAATAAAATAGCCCAGCAAAAGGCAATTCACGAGCAGTTTAAATTTGTTGGTTCTTTCAATGACTTTCACTTACAGGAGTCATATTATAAATATATTTGTGGTGGAAGCACACCAAACTATCAATTACCTATCGAAATTCAATCGAAAGTCAGGGATCCTGATAATCAAATAAAACATTTTCATTCAAATAAACATTTATTATGCAGGGTTAAATCCGTTAGAATTAGGATTTTGAAATTATTAAACTCTTCATGCGCAGCATTAGGCGGGATCGAGCTATGGGGTAAACCTTCACAATCATGTTCAATGGAAACCATACAATTTATTTATAATAATAATTTAAATAATCAAAAAACCGCCAATCAACCAAATTTATTTAATAATAATCAATCCTCAATATTTAATAGTAACTATTTTATGCAACAACAGCAACAGCAACCAATACAACAACACCAGCAAAAACCATCAACACCAAGCTTACCTTTTAATCCAAAACCAACACCACTACAACAAATTCAAATTGATTCAGATGAATCAATGTCAGATAGCGAAAATGATTCCGATGAAGATTTTAAAAGAAACAATCCAGAAATTGTATTTAACGAGGCAGGTATACCAACTACATTTTTAGATCCAATCACATTGGAAATGATGGTAGACCCTGTTACACTACCCTCTGGAGTTGTTGTGGATAGATCAACTATTGAAAAACACTTTCAAAACCATTATTTTACTGATCCATACTCTGGCGAAAAACTATCACAAAATGACATCCAAACCAACCACGTACTATGGTCTAAAATCCAACAATACAGAGATAGAGGAAAAAGAAAAAGAATTTTAAAATCAAATTCTACAATTTTTAAAAATCAAGTGCAATTAAATATGTTACCTCAAATTTCACCCTCCTCAAATTTAAACTTTAGTTTTAATAATAACTTGGGCAATAATATAAATGATCCCATTAACATCGATGACGACGAATCCATGAATTCGAATAACAATCAACGTCCAGGACTATCCAAAATAGTTTCTCAAGATTCATTCGTTGAATTACCTATTAAAAAACACAGAAAATAATTCATGTTTTTTTTTTGTAAATAAATTGTATATTTTTCAGATAAAAAAATCTCTTTCATATATTTGGTTTATTATTTTATTTATATATTGTTTAATCAATTATATTTTAAAACCAAAAAAAGTAATAATTCTAATTTTAATAATTTTCAAAAAAAAAAAAAAATTATTTAAAAAATTATTTTTTTTATTTTTTTTTTATTTTTTTCGATTTTTATTACAACTATTAACATTTTATTTTTTTTTTTGTTTTTTTATTTTTTTATTTTTTAATAATTTATATAATATGTCAGAACCAAATAAACCTGCACAATTTACACCAAAGAAATTAAATAAACCAGATTCAGTTATTGGAAAAAAAAAAAAACCGATAGTTTTTAAAGATACAGTTGGTTCACCCTATGCAAACAAAACTTTGTAGGTATATGAAACCTAATAGTAATCATCATCAATCATCATAAACTACATCACTATTATATACGAGTTTTTATAAAACTAATGTATTTTATTATAAATAACTATAGAAAAACAATATCAAATGAATGTACAGAAAGAATTTTAGATTTACTAAACGAAATAATGAAAAATGATTTAGAAAATATAAATAAACTTAGATTATTAAAAAAACAAAAATATTTTGCATTAAAAAAAGAAAAAACCCAATTAAATAAAATAATAAAGAGATTAAAATCAATAAATAAAAAGAAAGAGTTTGTAAAAAATGATAAAAAGTTAAGCAAAGATGAAAAAGCAAAAGAATTAGCAAGACAAGACCAATTAGAAAAAGATTTTCAAAAACAAAAAGAAGAACAAGAGTTAAAATTTAACAATTTAGATAAATCAGAATCAGAGAAATTAGAAAAAGAAAAAGGAAATATCAAAGTTGGAAGTAATGATAATTTAAATAACTTTTGGATAGGTGTCAATAAAATTACTAAAGAATTAGAAAAGATACCAATTCATTCACCACCATCTATTAGATTAATTTTAGTTTGTCCAAATTCGGGTATTCAAATTTTAACATCCCATTTACCAATTATGGCCTATATGAGAAGGTAATATTTATTTTAAAATTCATTAATTTAATTTATCATAATCTAATTTATTAATTTAATGCTTAGAATACCAATTTGTTTGTTACCAGAGGAATACTCTATCAAATTTTCACAAAGTATGGGCATCCCAAATACAGGGTTAGCAATCGCAGTCAAAGAAAAAACCAATCAAGATATTAATGATGATAATACCTTTAATGAAAAATTTGAAGAATTTGTGCGTGTTTCCATTGAAGCCTCTAAAAGTGTCAATAGTTTAGATTTCCCATGGTTACCAGAAAAATATACAATGTCAAATCTAACCGAGCAGGTTAAAGTTGAATATATCCCAACAAATATTATAAAAGGAAATAAACGTTTAAAAACAAACTAATTATTCATTTATATTTAGTTTATTTTTTTTTTTTTCCATAAATTATTTATTAACCCCCATCTTTTTTCAATTGCACAAAAAAAAAGTTTTTGGAAAAGTTTTTTGATGATCAAAAAGAAAATTTATTTAAATAAATCTATTTTTTTATTAAGATTACGGGTTTACAATTTTTTTAAAACCCACCTAAACAAAAATCTTTTTTTTTTTTTTGTTTTCGTGTATTTTATAAAAAATTTCCCGTTTACCAGAGTTAGGAAACAGTTTTAGAATTTTAATTTTAATTTTTTTAAATTTTATTTTATTTTATTTTTTTTTAAAATTTTTTTTTTATTTAATTTTTTTTTTTTAAAATTTAGGGTTATTTTTCTATCTTTACCTATAATATATATATAAATAAATTTACAATGAAATATTTAATCGTTATTGTTTTAGCTATCTTAGCTTTATTATCAACCTCAACTGTTCAAGCTGGTGCCACCGAATGTGAATTCTGCGAGTAAGTAAATATGGTTATAAAAAAGAAAAAGAAAAGAAATATTAATCATATAATTAAATTGGTCTAAATTAATAGATTCATCGCCAACTATGTTGATGACTATGTTAAACAAAATAAAACCATCTCACAAATCGAAGTTTTAGTCGAAAAAGTTTGTATCATTGCTGGTTCCAACGAAGAAGCTTGCAAAGATATCGTCCAAGGTTATTTAGGTCAAATTATTGTTATGTTAGAAAACTTTGAAACCCCAGCTGCTATCTGCGCTCAATTAGGTTTCTGTGGTGGTTCAAGTGAAAAACAAGTCCAAGGTGGTCTTAAATGCGATATCTGCTCTTTCTTATTAAAGAAAATCGAAGGTAAATAATTGATTAATTTATAGTTTTAACATTTTTAATTCAGAAAACTAATTTTTTTTTTTTCTTTACATTAGGTTATATCACTGCTGGTAAAACTGAAAAAGAAATCATGAGTTCTCTTGATGGTGACTGCAAACATCTCCACAGTGCTTCATCAATTTGTGAATCAATGGTCGACGAATATGCTCCACAAATCATTCAATTATTATTAAACAAAGAAAACCCAGATGAAGTTTGCAAACAAATTCACCTCTGTTAAATAAAAATAAATATATAAATAAATAAAATAAAATAATTAAAGTGTATCAAAATTTTTACTTTTAAATCAATCTTCATCAAAATCTATTTTATTTTTATAATACATAATTTATATAATCACTCCATAACAGAATTTTATTATTTGAAAAAATAAAAAAAAAAAAATATCTTTTTTTTATTAATTAAAATCTAATTTGTAAAATGGACAATTTAAAAAAAAATGGTTTAATCTTTTTTTTTTTTAAAATTTTTTTAAACCAAACAGTGCTTAACACTCAATTATTTAATATTAAAAATAAAAAAATAAAAATATAAAAAAAAAAATTTATTTAATTAAATAATATATAGTTTTAAATATGATTGAGGGTAAACAATTTCTATGGAATGAAGTTGCAAAGCATAATAAAGAAGATGACATATGGATTATAGTTGATGGTAAAGTTTATGATATTACCAAATGGTTACCAATTCATCCAGGTGGCAAGGAGGCATTGCTATTAGCTGCTGGCAGAGACTGCACAAATTTATTTGAGAGCTATCATCCAATGTCTGATAAACCACAATCCATTATTGGCAAATTCGAAATTGGGTATATATCTTCATATGAACACCCCAAATATGTTCAAAAGAGTAAATTTTATTCAGATTTAAAACAGAGAGTAAGAGAATATTTTCAAAAGACAAATCAAGATCCACAGCTCTCTGTTGGTATAATGACCCGTATGACTTTGGTTTACACCTTGGTATTTTGCACATACTACCTGGCCCATTTTGTCACCCAAAACTTTTATCTATCTTGTTTATTTGCAATCTGTTATGCCATTGCCAACTCCTTGTTTTCATTGCACATGATGCATGATGCTTGTCATCTATCAATTACACATAATCCAATGGTATGGAAGCTAATGGGTGCATCATTTGATTTTCTTACTGGTGCTTCATTCTATGCATGGTGTCATCAACACGTAATAGGACATCATTTATATACAAATATAAGAAATGCTGATCCAGATTTAGGTGAAGGTGAAATAGATTTTCGAATTGTTACTCCATATCAACCACGTTCATGGTATCATAAATATCAACACATTTATGCACCAATTCTCTATGGACTTTATTCATTTAAATATCATTTACAAGATCATGAAACTTTTACAAAAGGAACCAATGGTTCAATTCGTGTATCCCCACCAACAACCTTCGACTATTCCGCATTTATTTTAGGCAAATTATCATATGTTTTCTTCCGTTTCTATCTACCATTGCAATACCATAGTTTTTCAAACTTAATAATATATATTATAATTACTGAAAGTATTTTAGGATGGTATTTAGCATTAGGGTTCCAAGTATCTCATGTTGCAGAGGATGTAAAGTTTTATGCAACACCACAAAAACCAGAAGAGGCTGAGCAAATCAATGAGGATTGGGCAATTCTTCAAGTTAAAACAACCCAAGACTATGGACATGGCTCAATAGCATGCACATTTTTAAGTGGTTCATTAAACTATCAAGTTGTTCATCATTTGGTAAATATATAAACACTATACCCAATTATTTAAAAGTTTCATACTAATAAATTATTATTATTATTTAGTTCCCATCAATTGACCAGGAATTCTATCCACAAATCGCTCCAATTGTAAAAGAAGTTTGTAAAGAGTATAATGTAAAATACCATATTAAAGAAACATTTTATGAAGCACTTATGTCACATATTAACTATCTCTATAAAATGGGTAATGACCCAGATTATGTAAGAAAACCTATAAATTCAAAAAATGACTAAAAAAATAATAAAAAAATAAAGAATAGAATCGAATTTAAATAATTATTAGTTAAATTAAAATTAATTAATTTAATAAATAACCTTTTAAAATATTTTATTTATATTTATTTTAATATGCTTTTGGGTTTTGATGTTCCTGGGGTAGTTGCTGATGAGTATGCTTTGGTATTACCACTTAAATTTGATGAATGATTTTTTGATACTAATACTTTTTGATTTTTTGGTGGCTCTGGTTCTATTTGTGATGCTATTATATCATCTTCATTTATATCTATATTAAAATCATCATCAATAATTGGATTGTTTGTATTATTATTGTTATTATTATTATTATTATTATTATTATTAATTGGGTCATTAGAGTTGGTATTACCACTTTGGGTACTGAATATTTGAAACTCTGACTCGTCAATTTCTATGTCAAGGTTGTCATCTAAATTAGGTTCCATTAAATTAAAATATGGTTCATCTATATCCTTTGGTGATTGGCTAAAATAATCGTCTAATACTGTAATCTTGGATCCTGTATTATCTGTTTTATCTTCTTTATTACTATTATTATCATTATTATTCATATTTTTATTTGGTGAGATAGTATTTGGTTTATTTTGTGGTGGTGTTGATTTATTTACATTAGTTTGTTTGATAGGTTGTTGTGCTGCATGTAATTGTGCTTGAGAGGGAGGTAAGGATATATTTGCTTTTGGTGTTAAAGAGGTACTGTCGTTTGGTTGTATGGTTTTTAAAGGGATTGTGTTGGATGAATCGCCAATTGAATTCTTTGTATTTAATTTATTACCTGTATTTGCTCTTAAACTACCATCATCCTTTTCATAGTTACAATTTGCAATTTGTTTTTTTGTTGTTGTTGTTGTTGTTTTAGTTGTAGGAGATTGTTTTTTAGTTGGTGTAGCTGAAATTTTTTTCTTTGAAAATTTACTTGGTGGTGGGGGTTCTAATCGTTGAAGTTGATTTGCAGCTTTTTGATTTTGAAGTGATTTCTGTAATCTGTTTCCATCAACCTCTCTTTGAATTTCCTCCTCTGATCTTTTTGGAATATCTTGAAAAATTGACATTGGATTATAGTTTTCTATTTGACCTCCATAATACTTTTCAATCATCTCATCAAACTCTTTGGTAACACCTAAAAGCTTTTGCTGGTTTTCTTTTGATCCTGAGGTAATAGGATTTTCATAAACAAACTCTATATTTGGTAAAACTATATTGATATAATGTGATTTTGGAGTTGGACTAAAAATTGATACTTTTTTTAAAACCAATATCCAACCTGGTACCATTCCTGAATAATTATTTTCTTGTAAAACTTTTTTATTAATTGTTCCTTTCATTTCGCCTGATGGATCGGAAACAACAACTTGGAAATCGCTATCACTTCCTGTCATACTCTTAATGCATACAATCAAATATGGAACCTTTTTTAAAAATCCCTCGTTTAATACAAAATCGATATTATATTTCAATAAATTTTTATCATCATCTAAAAAAAAAATAAAAAAAAATTAGTAAAATTATTTTTAAATTAAAAAATTAATTATTTTTTTTAAATATATCAAGTACTTTTAAAAGGTGGCAATTGTCTATCTTTTAACATTTGTATCCAAGGACCTCTGATAAAATCTTGATTATTTTCGTCAAAATTATTATTATTTTTATTTTTTATAAAAAGTGATTGATTCTCTCTGTCATTATCCGAAAATTTCAATGTCTTTTTGCTATTTATAGGCTCTCCAGGTAATCTTGGTGGTAATAAACCTGCTGGACCTGGCAATTTTCTTTCATTAATATTTTGTTGATGCTGATGTTGATGTTGATGTTGATGTTGATGTTGATGTTGATGTTGATGTTGATGTTGATGTTGATGTTGATGTTGTTGTTGTTGTTGTTGTTGTTGTGGCTGTTGTTGTTGTGGCTGTTGATTGCTCACATTAATATCTTGATCGCTTGTTTTAGATTGTTTAAAATTAAATTCACCTTTAAGTCTTTTATTCATATTCTCTTCTAAATCGTTAACATATGCATTTTGTTTCATTTGGGTTGGTGAGGTATTGTTTGATTTAAATAAAGGTTGTTTTTGTTTTGGTGGTGATATATTTTGCTGATGTTGTTGTTTTGGTGGTGATATATTTTGTTGTTGTTGTTGTTGTTGTTGTTGTTGTTGTTGTTGTTGTTTTGGAGGTGGTGTCTTTTGTTGTTGTTGTTGTTTTGGAGGTGGTGTCTTTTGTTGTTGATCTTTTTTTGAATTATTACTGTCATTACTTTCAAGATCATCTATAATGAAATTATTTTCATCATTTCTTTTATTAAAATTAAATAATTTATTTACTGTCTTTTTTGAAGCCTGTGTTTCACTTTCTTTGTTATTTATTGTTGTTTTTGTTGCCACTGTCGGGTTATTGGTATTTATAGTTGAACCAAATTCATCATCGATATCGAATTCTAAATCCTCGTCATCCATTTAACGAAATCTATTAATTTAAAATATATATTTAATTTTTATTATGATCTGTTGTATATTATTGATATTGGTGTTATTTACAAAAAAGAATATGAAATCATATTCAATATAAAGCGTAATTTAAAAATAAAAAAATTTATGTAAAATTAAAAAAAAAAAAAATTAAAAAATAAAAAAAATTTTAATTTTTTTTATTTTTATTTTTATTGGAAATTATTTTTTAAAAAAAAACTCTTATTTTTATCTCTTTTAATAATTATTTACAAATACAAATCTATATTTTTAACAATGATCTCAAAACAAAATAAAATAAAATAAAAAATAAGATTCAAATAAAATATATTTATAATTCTGACATCAAATAAACAAAGCGAAAATCTCAAAGAAATATTAATCGTAAAAAAAAAAAAAATATAAATAAAATAAAAAAATAAAAAAATAAAAAAACAAAAACAAAAACAAAAACAAAAACAAAAATATTTAAATTTTCTAATTTTAGATTTGTTAAAAAAAAAGGTTTTTTTTATCGTTTTTAAATATTTATTGGGTAATATTTAAAAACGAAAGACCAATCAATTATTTCTTTTTAAGATTTTTTTTGAATAAGAAATGATTTTAAAAAAAATAATAATTTAATTGTTTTTTTTTTTTTATAATTCATTGAAATAGTGCCTGCATCCGGTGGAGCCACCAATAAAAAAAGATCACTTCACCACTAAAATTTAAAAAAAAAAAAACACGCCACCAATTGATATTTCTTTTTGAAATTGCTTTAGTTTTTTAAATATAAATTCTGGTTTGATCAATAAAATGAACTTGTAAAATAATTAATTATAATCCCATGCCCATGTGGTTTGACCATAAATTTAGGCGTGTGTCTCTTCATTACCAGTAGTGTTTTTTTAAAATATCCAATAGACGAGGCCATTTTTAGTACGAGGACTTAATATTTTTATCATTATTGTTAATTTTTTTTTTTAATATGGGTGATATTAGCAAAAATATTGGTGAGTTTTTAAATTCAGTCCTTATAAAGAGTTTTCTTTTTGATTTTAAAGAAAAATTTTCTTCTCGCTCACATATTTTTGTGTAACCCAATCAAACAATTCATATTAAATCATTGTATACAAAAAACAAAAACAACAACTGTATATTTGCATGCATAAAAAAATATATTATAATTATTTAGAAAAAATAATGTAAAAAACCGTCCAAAAACTCATATCCTCTTTTTTTATCCATATTTTAATTGTTATTTTTCTTTTTTTTTTTTTTTTTTCACACAATTTTATATTATTTTTTTTTTCAACTTTTTTTTTTCTTTTGTTAACAAATCTTTATTGCTAAAAATAAATAAATAATAAATAAATAAATAAAAATAATTTAAATACAGATATAACACATTAAAGAAAAAGAATAAAAAAAAAAAAATGAAAAATAATTTTTCATCATTTCTATTTTTAATTTTTATTATATTTTTATTTATTAATAATGTAATGTCGCATTATACATTTTTTAATGTAACAAGCACAACATGCGATGCTACATTGGAAGCAAAAGATTGTCAAGATGCTTTGTGGGAACCCAAGATAAGAATCGCCCCATACGATACAAAAAGAAGACCAAATATTTATTTTTGCCCTGGAAAACAGTATAGCC